GAATTGGTGCTGCCTTGGGCACCTTTCTACAGGGGCTGAGGACAGGTCCGGCCACCCAAGGGTGCCTGCACCCCGAAAACGCCCTAGTCTGCAAACATCTTGCCCCGGTGCAGAGAGGTAGCAAAATGTTAAAGGGGTCTCTCTGCAGTGGAAACTCAATCGATGCTCTCAACACCTGCTCTGTGGACACAGGGGAATAAATGTCATGGTAGGTCTGTCGGCTCTGTTAGGTGGACATGGCTGGAGCTGCTGGCAGGTCTTTGTGCTGGGATCACCCACCAGCCTTTCACCCTCTGAGAGTCTATGGAAAGCTGTGAGGTACGCGATAGGAAACGGGGGCCACTGCCTGCTCATGCTCATCCCCGCTCTGTTGCCTGTCTGCTGTACAGCGAAGGCATTGGGCTTCGGTGTGGAGTTGGGAGCGCCAATACATACTTTAATGTTCAAAGGCTGTGCTAGAAATTGGGGATTTCTAGTAAATCGGGGTAAACCTTCTAGTGGTACCCTCCATTCAAAAGTCTTGCATGACACCAGAGACTAAAGCTTAAATTACCCAGCTTTAACCACACGAGTGTAACTGAAGCGTCATAACGTTTGGGTGGGAATATCGGTGTGGCATGTCCTTACTGCAGTGTAATGGTGTGCTGCCGGAGGTTGTCGGGGTGGAAATGTCCTACCCCTGCCTGAAACAGGACGCACATTTTGTACAACGCAGGGCCTGGGCTCCTCTTTTGCAAAGTGGGTTTAGCCTGTGCCCAGAGAGCTGCAAAGCTTAATTAAGATCCTTAAGAGGACAAAAGGTACTACATAAATTCAGGGGATTATTATAAATGTCACTGCGTTCTACAAGCTCTGGCAAAACTCACAGGAGGAATAACGAGACCTTTCACTTCACAGCCCGTCCTAGCAGGGCTACTTACAGCTTCATGCTTCAACATAGCAGCTGTAAAATGTTGACATTTATAATTAGATGTGCATAATAATCTCTTTATTCCTGAACTGAAAAGATAGGGTGTGTCTTGAAATGTCAGTTCCTCCTCTTTGCTGAGGATCCCCCTTAATGGGATTGCTCACGAAACCATCATTTGGTGAAATGTCTCAGAGCCTGGTTCGAAGAGGTACCGATCTTTGCAGCTCCCCCAGGGAGCTGTGGGCTGGGCAATTGGTGAATAAAATCAAAGCCTCCGTGTGTTTTTAATCTGATTAGTTGATGATAATCCAGTAGTATCATGCAGCAAAAGCTGTCCAGCTTTATTAGGCAATCTCTTGTTTTAAGAGAACTGTATGCAGGGGAGCATTCAGCTTTGGTGTTTCTGTTGAGGACTGGCACAATGGGGTGATTTTTCGTGGTTTTAGTGCTTTGTGAGAATAAGATTAATCTGGGGCTTGGACAGCTGGGGGAGTGGTGGATTTTGGTCCTGTGGGTGCTATCAGCAGCTTTGGGCAGCCCCTCTGCCAGGGTGGTTGGTGGTGGAGGGGGCAAAGGGCTGACCAGGTCGGACCAGGGCTGAAGGTGGGGGATCGCCCCGCGGTCCCGGGCCACCGGGTCAGTCCCGGGTCGAGAACTGGGTACTTCCCAGCGGGGGCCGGTCCCGGACCACCGGCTCGGTCCCGTACCTTGCCGGTCCCGGACCGCGTTGGCTCTCAAAGCGAGCCTTTTGCCTGGGAGCCCCAGGGGCATTCCCCGGTGCGGGGCGGGAGCGGTGCCGGTGCGGCGCGCTGCCGCGGCCCTGCCCCTGCCTAAATCTGCCGGCGCATCACGGTGAGTGACAGCAGCCCCGGCCCTGCCCAGCCCGCACAACCCGCCGGGCTTTTCCAATCAGGCCGGGCCGGGGAGGGATTTCCTGCCGGGACGGGGCCAGCCCGAGCGGGACTTTGCCGAGCGCCGCGCCGCCCTGCGAGCCGGGCAGCCGGGACCGCGCCGCTCGGTCCGGTCCCGGTCCCGCTCCGCACGGCTCGGCAAGTTGCTGCTCGGCTTGGCTCTGTACTTCTCGTCGTGGCTTGGTCCGGAGCGGTACCGCACGGCGCGGTCCGGTTCGGTCCGGTGCGGCTCGGTTCGCCCCGGCTGGGAGCGCCGGTCAGGTGAGTGGGGCCGCCGGCTGCGGGGCTCGGGCCGCTCGTAGAAGCAGCGGAGCAACCCGTCTCGGTGGGGGCAAAAATCCTCCCGAGCCTTCCCCGAAGGAGGGAGCGGCCCAGTCCGGGTCCCGGGGGTCTCGGGACGGGGGCGGTGGGGGGGACACGGAGGCGCGACGGGTGCGCCCATCGCTGCCTGCCCGGCCGGCCTCGCTCCGGCGGCGGGCAGCGCGGGGCTTCCCGGGGGCCTCCCGGGGGAGGTGAGCTTCCCCCACCCGTCCCTTCGGGACCCAGTCTTGGTGCCTACTGCTCTTTCGCATCTTTCCTTCTCCACTTACGTAATTGGTTTGTTGTTGTTTTGATTTGTTTTGTTTTGTTTTCTCCTCCTCTCTCTCCTTTTTCCCGGCGCCGCCGTTGGCTGCGGGAATGTTTGGGATACTTTGGTTCTCCAGGTGGATTCCTGGGCTGGAGGCTCGGCTCTGCTCGGGTGGGAGGGCTGTTTGCTGTTGCTTTTCCAGCTTTGTGAGTTTCTCAAATTTTACCTTCGCTGCTGCTCCTCTCTCGAGAGGCTGAAGAGGTGGAGGTCTGTATTTGGAGTTCTCGGTACCTCCGAGTTATTCGCCGAGCCTCGTGTGCTCCGGGAGAGGTAGAAGCAGCACAGGGCTGTTTTCTAAGTGAGGCCGTACAGACTTTTTTAATACATGAGTAAATAGTCTCAGCGCCCTCACGCTCACTTTTTGTGCTTTTGAAGAGCAGCACAAAGTGGGATGCAGTGCATAGGGTTAAATGAAATAGTTTTGAAAACGGTGTAGCACAGGAGGTTTCGGGAGGGGATTTGTTTGTGGCAAGAGGTTAGTCTGAGTCAAGTGGCTGAAACTTTGTTGTAAGGTAGATAAGCTGGTGTGGGCGCTCCAGGATGGATGTGGGGAGGTGACAGCTGACCTCGGCAGGCACTGGCCTCAGTGCCTGGTACCAAGCCCCCAAGCAGCCCCAGTGCCGAGGGGCTCATCAGCTGAATGAACTGTGGGCCCCAGGGGAACAATGATGGGGGAAGAACCCCTCAGCCTGGTGTGGGAATCTCAGCATCCCCTTGTCCCAGAAGCTAAGCTGGCACTGGAGCATCGCCTCTCCTGCTGCCCTGAATACCACTGCACCCTGGGGAGGGCTGGAGCATGGGGAGCCCGTGGGGGGGTCTGTGCTCGTGGGCAGCTGCAGCTTCTAGCTTTACCGTGGGTGGGCTGAGCGACGCTGTGCCATGGGACGCCCCTTCTGTTTTTGCCCCCGACCCAGGCAGGACCTCTCTTCCCACTGTTGCCTTCTCTCCCCTGTGGCTTCCATCCTTAAAACGGTGACCTCAATTGCTTGGAGGAAGCGACACCCGCTATTACATAAACAGCTGAGGGCGAGCGCTCTGGGAAGGGAGACGGCATGCCTGAGCCATGGCGGGGGAACTGGAGCCGGTTCCGATGTAGCCCGGATCGGTACAGGGGGAGTTGCAGGGTGATCTGGTGACGGCTTTGCAGCTGGCACGGCGCGTGCTCCCTGCCCTCCTGCGCACACGCTCCTCCCCGGGCGTTGGAGCAGCCTGCCAGATGCATGGCCCTGAACCAGGAGGGATTTTCTTGCCACCCAGTTTGGGCAGCCCAGGCGCAGCAGGGGAGAGCATGGGCTGGGAGGTGTGAACTGCTGCCACGGAACCCCATGCCCTCTCTGGGGTATCCTAGCTGGCCAGGCTGTGGGCTTGATTCTGTTCTCCTGAGCATGGTTGTGCTGCTGAATTACACCCAGTTCCTTACTTGGGCCAGAGAGAGCTCGTGTAGTGGTTAAAGACTGTCTTGGGTCCCAGGGCACTGAGCTTCATGGGTGATTTGGAGGGCGAGGGTGTACACCTGCATGCGAGGGGAATAGTGCTGGGCAGGCTGACTCACTCCCATGGGCTGTAGAGGACTTTGGCTAAACCTCTCCAGCTCCATCCCTTGGGTGCTGCCACCAGGAAAGGAGAGGGGGAGATGCTGTAGTGCCCCGAGCCCCATGTGCTGCCTTTAGGGAGGGGAGAGTGTGTGCAGCCCCAGGGGGACGGGGAAGGAGCTGTACTCCCGTCCTGCTCCTTGGCCACCCCCCAACAGCATCCTCGGGAGGTTTCTTCCACAGGTTCTTCCCTCTCCGTTTAACACGAGGACGAGCCAAGTCCCGCCAGGACTAAATATAGTCAAAGTATTCGTTCTTCGGTGCGGATACAAAAGCTGTCGCGACAGAGCCGGGAGGTAAATGGCCTTCGAGGGCTGACTCTGCTTTTCCCCTCTGCAGGTCCCGGGCTGCCACTCCAGGGCTCGGCCGTGCACGGGGCTCCCCAGCGTGGCTGCAGCACTGTCGCCAAGAGGAATGCTGAAACGAAGGGGCTAATGAGCACCAGAGAGGGAGGATCTATAACTTCCAGATGGCGACGAGCCCATAATCCCTTTGGGAAGAATTAGGGACTCATCAGCACAGCAGAGCCTGGCGAGGGGAGCAAAGCACGACACGTCTGGCTCCGGGAGCGCTGCGAGAGGCTGAGGGCATCCTGATGCCGACTGCACTGGCCACCCTGCCCCGAGCCACCTGGCTTGGTCTTGCGGAGCTCTGGTGCTGCCAGGAGCCCGTCCCTAGGTGCTGAACTATTTCTTGTTTTAATTGATCGCATGTTCTCCAACCAAATCCCACCCGGGTCCTGCTCCTCCAGACGCAGAAATGGACTTCTGCCCTTAACAGAAAGACTTCCTCCTTCTGGTTTTTATGTCCCATGGGATTGTAAAGCATCTTTCTTGCTGGATTTCATCTCCCGTCAAAGTGTGTTTTGAGGAATTAGGGGCTTATTCTCATGGCTCTATAAACCTCCAGGATCCGAGGGTCTCTGCCTTCTGCGCTGCTGCTGCTCCCACCTGTCTGCGATGGGGCGAGAGCAGGAGCTAATCCAGGCCGTGAAGAACGGGGACGTACCCAGTGTGCAGAAACTAGTGGCCAAGATCAAGGCATCTAAGAGCAGTGAGTACACCGGTGCAGAGCTGTGGGCTCCCTCTCCCCGGCCGGGCACTGCCGCCTGTCCCAGTGTGTGAGTCCTGGCAGCGGGCTCAGTGCCATCCAAGCCAGGGTGCAAGTGCTGGCTCTGAACCCCGGTGCATGAGTTATGCTGTGGCCGGAGGCAGGAGCGCAAGCGCAGCCCATGCGGATGAATGACCCGGCTGTAAGCGATCCTCCCTGCAGGGCTGGGGTTCCCCTTGGGCTCGGGGCCAGGAGCCCTGAAGCTTGGGCCACTGAGCAGGGATGGGTGAAGGGAAACGGCGGCGGTGGAGGGAAGCGAAGCCACTTGAGGGGGGGACGCTGCTACAAAGGGTCTTTAGCGATTGCCACTTGCTCCTGGCTGTATTTATCTTGTGAAAAATTATCATCCCAGCCAGTCAACTGGAACCAATCGTCAAGCCTTGAATTTCAGTCTGGTAATGTTTAACCCTTCAGCAGGGCTGTTTTCTTGCACATGCTCTCAGAAAGGTCAGTGGCAAGCATGGCTCAGAGCAAACGTCGGGCTCTTGGGGGTCTCCAAGGGCACTGGGGTCCTGCAGGCACCGCATGGCATCTGGAGGAGATGGGAAGGGTAGCAAGGTGGAGGAGCAGATCATGGCTAGTGGCACGGTGCCCTTGTAGAGAGCTGAGCTCCTGGCTGCTTTTCATGACCTAACGAGAGAAGGAGACTGGGAAAAGTAAATAAAAGGGCTCTCAGTGTGGTCATGGTGGGGGGAAGGTGCACAGCACCTGCCTGGGCTGTGAGAGCTGCTCTGGGCTGGGGGGTGTGGGACCCCCTGCCAGGGCTGCATGTCGTGGGGGGTCTCATGGGTGTGTGTGGCAAAGCTGGAGGGGAAAAAACTGTCCAGGGGAAGGAGAGGGGAAAGTGGGGCAGGAGAAGAAGCTTTAAGGTTTCTTAGGAGCAGCTCAGGAAGGGGAAGCTGGTGCTGAGAAACGTGAGTTAGGCTAGGGATTATAAATGCTAGAAGGGCATTAACTCCCCTGGGTCAGCTACTGGAAAGCTTTGACTGGGGCCAAAACTTTGCAAGTCTGGACTGCTGGGCATGCAGGAAGGCTGGGGGCCACCTCCACCCCAGAACAGGGGGTGCCTGGTGCCTACTCTCTGGGTGAAGGGACTGGGTGCCATTGCCCACGCTTGCAGCTCAGGGACTGCGCCTGTATGGGGTCCCTGAGCTGGAATGAGAGAGGTTTGCCTGCGCAGGCGGGTTGAAGGACGCCTCCAAGGCAATAAATAACATCAGAATGTGAGCGTCCTGCTGGCTGATGCAGCCCCATTCCCCTGAGCTGGTGTCCCATGGCCAGGCGGTGTGGGCAGGCTGGGCTGCCCTTGGCTCTCTTCCTCCTGTGCACCTGGAGGGGTGAAGTTATACTTGTTTCCTCCAGTCCCTTCCAGTAACTCTCTCCCAGTGAAACCCCGTCTGTGTTTTCTCTCTGGCATCTTCCCCTCCCTCTAGCCGTGGGGCACCCACGTGAATGTGTGTGTTTAACTCCCCCGCTGCAGCGGCGTCAGCAGCTCCCTCTGCTTATTTTCATTTTATTCCTTTATAAGGAGGAGGGTGCAAAAAGCCCAGACCCCTGCAAGGCCACCGCTGCAAGCCCTCGGTGGGGCTCCTGTGCTGGACCCTCTGTGGAGGCTTGCCTGGTCCCAGGGGCTCATCCCTGGCATGGAGGGCATCACTGCTCCTCATCCCTTACAGTTCCCCCTCTCTCCTCTCGCCGATGCCATGTGAGCCGAGCATTTGCTGCATTTGCTGTTCATTAAAGCGCCTTTTCCATATGACAAGCTGAGATGCTGATTATATATATATTTTTTTCAAAATCCCTCTAAGAGCCCTTCTGCTGTCTCAGTGGATTGGGAGCTTGGTCGCTGTGATCAGCCCTCTGGGTCTTCCTGTGCCTAAAAAAGTCACTGCACGTAAGCAAAAATCAAGCGCCGGTCCCGGCAGCGGGAACTTCAGGGACACGTTGTTTAATATTCACCGTGCGCAGCCCTCCTCCCTGCGCAAGCGCTGCTGTACAAGTGGGTCACAGCACCTATTATTATAAGGCGGTGGGGCGGGCAGGGAGAAAGTTTTGGGGGCAGGAGGGGAAGGGCAGGCGAGGGCGGGCATCCTGCCTGCGGGAAGGGGACGTTGGGTCGATGCTGTGGTCACTTCTGCAGCCAGGGAGGGGGTCTCCTCCGGGAGAGCCGGGCTGCTCCTGCTGAGCCAGCCGTGCTTTGCTGAGGTTCCCTGGCGCAGCAATAGAAACGTCCCGCTTTTTAATTTCCTTCTCTCTCTCCCTCTCTCCTCCCCTCTGCGTCGGAGCGCTGCAGAGTTTAATTGAAATTGTTAAACGACCCGTCACGGCTTTGGCCTTTCTCCCCAGCGATCAATCACGTCCCCGGCTTGGCCGTGCTCACCAACAATGCGCCAGTTGGCCGGGCCGGGGCGGCCGCCGCGGCACCGATGGGCTGGGGGCTCCCCAGGGGAGGTGAGAGGCAGAGCCCCCCCGCCGGCTGGGGCTCTCGTCTCTGGGAAGGGGTGATGGCTCCTGGAGCTGGACGGTGCCTGGCAAGGTTTGGGTGTCCCCATCCCGGCCGTGCAGGGCTAAGGGACAGGGGCTGGGGGGATGCTGGGGTGATGCTGGTGGGCGGGGGTGTGATTCCCCTGTGATAGCCGTGGGCTGGAGGGAACTATGGAAGGCGATGGGAGCTGGACTTACTGTTTGCCTTCCTTGAGGGAGTGGTGAAGGTTTGTGTTTAAACGTGTGCGAAGTGCAAAGAAAGGGCAGCAGCTGAGCAAACTGGTGTTAAACTCTCAAGGACAGGGAGTAAAGCCCTGCCGGCGTTCAGCTGCTGCCTTGGGGAGGTTCGGCCGGCTTTGGCCAGCCACTTGCCCCGTTTCACTAGTGACTTACCTCATTTCACCAGCTATGTTGGGGTTTTCCAGACCTTGGATATATCAAGGACAGGGGTGGGCGCCTGGGACTCAGCTGTGTCTGGGCTGTGACCTACCTAGCAAGTTGTTAAATGGTAGCAAAGCTTGCAGGGGGCCTTGGCTTTATCCCTGCGCCTGGGTTGGTGCCCCTCATTGCTGCATGCCGGCTGCACAAAGCACAGCAAGTTTTTCCCAAGAGCGGTGCCGGCCCTCAGATGCTGCTGTCACCCATCTGGCTGGGCAGGAGTGGGACAATGCTGCTCCGCATGCTGTGAGACTGCAGCAGGCAGATGTGGGATAACTTGCTCCCTCCCTCCCCCTTAAATTTCCTACTAATCCCTAGTAGCTATTTCAGCTTAAGCCTCGAAGCGTGAGGTTTAATATCTCTCCTGTGATTTGTTAGCCTTTGCCACCAGAGCTCTGTGTCCCTGTCCTCTGCAGAAACACCCACCCTCCCTTCATGTCCTGCCGGTCTTTTTCCTTCTCTCAGCGGCAGCGGGTCCACAGCTGTTTGGGGAAGAAGTTGATCCTTTTTGCAATTTGGGGGTTATTTTGCAATGATGTTGGATGCGCCTTTGTGGCAGTCGGCAAGCCCGGCATGCCGTCCCCCCTCACCGAGGAGGACCATCCTCTTCTTCACTGCTGCTCCTGAGGGAAGTTTGTCCCAAGCTCTGGCTGCTCTGTGTGGTCTGGCTGCGGAAAAGAGCCAGGACCAGCCTCGGGCAGGATCCTTATCGTTTCAGGCTCTGTTACACCCGACGGCTTTCCCTGCTGGCGGTGGTGCAGGGATGTCTGGGCACCCTGCCTGCTCCGGTCCTGCCCCAGGCCGTGCAGGCGGCTGGACCCGGCTCTGCCACCAAGCCCAAGTGTGGCCCTGGCCACATCCCTTGAAGCCCAAGTTTCGAGGACAAGTTCCCAAGCGTCCTCAGCTGTGTCCTCCCCTCCTCTCCCTGCGCGCTGTAGGTCTGACGGGCTGGACCGGCTTCGCAGCCGCACGCCTGCTTGGAAGGGCCACGGGCATGCCTGCGGAGAGACGCCGAGAAACTCTGCCGAAACGGGCAAAACTCCCTCTTCCGCCGAGACCGAGCCAGGAGCGGGGCGAGGCGCCGTGCCCAGGGGAGCCCGGCTGGCGGCGGCCCTGTGCCGGGGACCCCACCGCCCCGCAGCCTGCCAAAACCTGCTTTTGAACCAGCCTGCGGTGGGTGGGTGGGAGGGGGAGAAAAGAGGCTTCAAAGGCTCCGGCGAGCGTGGCGGCTGTGGGGATGGATGGCGGCGGGGCTGCAGCTGCGCAGCACGGGGGGGTCCATCCTTCCTTCCTCCTCCCGCAGGATGGGGGTATTCTCCGGTAGTCTGGTGTTTGCTTGGTGGGTTTTCCCATCCGCATCCTGGTTGTCCCAGCTCATGGAGGGGTTTAGCCCCTTTTTTTTCACCTCTGTCCCCAGGAAGGAAAAACCCCCGCGCAGGCAGCAGCGGTGAAAGGAGTGAATGGGTAGTTGCTTTTCAAAGCTGGCCTCTAACGGGTGTTGTGTTTGGAAAGGGGCCCGGCTGCTGCCGGTGTGCCCAGAGCTGGGGAAAACGTCACCGTGCCGAGCGTGGGAGATAAGGCACGAGCAAACAGTGTCACACAGGGAGATGGAGGAGGCTGTGCTAAGCATCGCACAGCTTCCTCGGGGCACCCAGCCCTGCGCCCCTCTGCACCCAATCTCCCCTTGTCCCGGGTCTGTATTTCTGTTCCCAGCCTTTGAAAACCCGTTGGCAGGGCAGCCTGTGGCTCCTTGCTGTCAGCCTAGGCCACCTGTAGCTGCCTTTTCCCTGCCTGGGTAAAAGAGTAGGGGGGAAAAAAGGGCTAATTCTGGGGAAGGGGATGAGCGTGGGGTCTGTTGGGGCTACTCTAGGCCATGCTACTTTCCCTTGGGGATGGCCGGGCAGCACTGGGGTGTCCCAGGGACTTGCCAGTCTCTCAGCGGGATGCAGAGCTCCCTCGGGGCCATGGACGGAGCCAGGCTGGCGGCCATCCCCAGTGTTGCAGGCAGGAGGCTGAGGTTT